TATAATTTGGACGAGTGGCGACTCCTTTTTTTCTTATATATTTCACACTTGATTTTTTCATTTATTTTGAAAAAAATCTTAAGTGGTCGTCAACAAGTGGGCAGTAGAACTGGAGGAGTTTGAGATAACGTTTCAGCAGAGATCGGCCATCCGAGCTTAAGCATTAGCAGATTTCATTGTCGAATGCACTCCATGTCCTTCAACCTCCAATCCAGAGCCCAACAACTGGACCTTATATGTTGACGGAGCATCTAGTAGCAAGGGTTCAGGGGCTGGCGCTCTCTTAATTGGTCCAGAGGGATACCGAAGTGAACATGCCCTGAAGTTCAGCTTTGATGCAACAAATAACATGGATAAGTATGAAGCTATGCTACTTGGTCTACAGCTAGCATTGGAGTTGAAAATCAGTGCAATTCAAGTATACAGCGACTCCCAGTTGGTGGTAAACCAAATCAACTCAATCTGCGAAGTTGTTGATCTTGTGATGGTGAAGTATGTAGCCTTGGTGGCCGAGCTGAAGTGCAAATTCCAGAAATTCTGTCTAAGTAAAATTCCCCAAGCTGAGAATGAACAGGCTGATTCACTCTCCAAGTTTGCCTCTGATAGCTCTTTAAGTTCCAGATCCGTTTTTGTGGAGGTCTTAGATGAACCAAGCTTTATGAAGCCACGGATAATGGAGATTAACACCGACCTTGACACGCCAAGTTGGACTAATTCAATCATCTCCTTTTTGCGGGATGGAATAGTACTTGAGGACAGGCAGGAGGCAATGAAGTTGAGGAAGAAAGCATCTCGGTACACACTCGTTGATGGAGTCATGTATAAAAGATCTTTCTCACTCCCTCTTCTACGGTGTTTAAACCCTTATGAAGCCGAGTATGCACTTCGGGAGGTACATGAAGGTGTCTGTGGGAGTCATGTTGGTGCTAGAACCCTAGCTCACAAAGTTTTAAGGCAAGGATATTACTGGCCAAACATGTACAAAGATGCCACTTACTTTGTTCAGAAATGCTCGAAGTGTCAATTCTTCGCACATCTGACTCACCAACCAGCAGAAGAGCTCACGAACTTGGTAGCACCATGGCCATTTGCTCAATGGGGACTAGATCTTTTAGGCCCATTTGTGAAAGGAGTTGGTGGTGTAACCCATCTGGTTGTTGGTGTGGATTATTTTACAAAGTGGGTTGAAGCTCGGCCTTTATCTAGTCTTACCTCCAAGAAGGTCGAAGATTTTGTTTTCAGCTCGATCATTTGCAGATATGGGATCCCGAATCAGATTGTGGCTGATAATGGAACTCAATTCAATTGCTCCTCATTCCGAGATTTCTGTTCCAGTTATGGGATCAAGTTACAGTTCACCTCCGTTTATCATCCGGAGTCCAATGGCATGGTTGAATCTGTTAACAAATGCATTTTGGAAGGTATAAGGCCGAGATTGGAGCAACATAAGGCCAAGTGGGTAGACGAGCTCAACAACGTCCTCTGGGCATACAGAACCACGAGCCGAACTGCCACAGGTACTACTTTAAACCAAGTTTATTTGATTAATTTCTATAGTATTTTACTTCTTCTGTTACGCTTTACCTTAGAGCAAATATGCATAATGCATAAAGCGCATTCTAAAGTTATAATTAACTGAAATAGGTGAAACACCCTACCACTTAGCC